AGATACTCAAATTTTCGGGTACATTTTATGATTTTGAGATTTTTGCGATGAAAGTGTAGGGAGTAATAATAATAAACATTTATTATGGTTTATTTGAATAAAGAAAAGTCATCGACTGTTTCGATTTGTGTTGCTAGAAGGAATCATTCAAGACTGCTACATGTTTGTAAATTGCAGACCATGAACTCATTGTAAAAGCTCTTTTCTTTCAGCCAGTTGTTTTCTAGACATTTATTTAACGATTTATCTTCCCGTTGTTTTTTATTCTTCAAAATTCATTCGCTTTTTCATCATTAGCAGTTATATCTTATCTGGCTGCAGGGGAATCGATCAGAACTATTTATTGCAGTACTGGGATAAAACAAAACACCACTTAAATTCAAGATATCATGACGTTTATTCCGTTTCCTTTGTAGATGAATGTCCTAATAGATGGAAGCGATCATGCTAAAATTGGTGATTTTGGTCTTGCAACTCGAGATATTGTATCGAGAAATCTATCTTCTTTGAATGAATCCGATTTGAGTTTTTCGATGACCAAAGATATTGGTACAGCTCTCTATATTGCACCAGAATTACTCTCAACTGCTAGTGGAAGCATCGACTACACAACAAAAATCGATGTGTATAGGTTAGTAGTGATTCTTTCATTTATTCATATTATTTATTTAACTTTTGACACTTATTTTGGCTATTTTAATTACTAATTAATTTCATTCTTGTCAGAATTGATTTATTTATGTTGATAAGTTCTGGTTTTTATCGAATTCATTGATGTACAACTTACGCCATTCACTTGTTCACTAATTCAGTTTACTAACCATTCAAAGTTTAGAATGATTTACTGAGGAGGATAAATTCAAGCACTTTTTGAAATTCTGTTTCAGATGAATACCTCCAGTTTCATTTTTGTTGATCATTTCTCATTCAGCTAATTATTTCCATTATCTCTACATTTCCTAAATCTGCGCATCAATGTTCATTTCATTTCAGTCTTGGCGTAGTTTTGTTTGAAATGTTCTATCGACCTCTTCTACCTGGCATGGAACGAATAGCAGTAATAAAAAATCTGCGTGGTTCCGGTCATTTTCCTTCTGATTTCGGGAATGGCATATTGGAGGTGAAATCGTTCTATTAGCAGACATGATATTTTTTCCAATGAAATATGTTAACTATGGTCTTTTAGATACATCAAAAAGCTGCCAAGAAATTGATCAAATGGATGCTGGAAATTCAACCAGATGATCGGCCATCGGTACAGATCCTTCTGGACAGTGATCGTATTCCAGTAGCAGAAATTGAAGAGAATGATTTCCAAGTATACTAAACCTTTTCTCTATTACTGGACTTAAGGCATCACGTAAAACGAAAACAAGCACCTACCGTCCTATGAACAAATTTTTTTTACTGGTTGAGATTAAAAGGTTTGCATCACTTTACCTTATCTGTTCATTGAGTATTACATTCGGTAGTTGATATTCACCACAATGACTATCTTGCTGTGTTTCCAGAAAATGTTTTGTCAAACTATTCGGAGCGGAGGACGCTTGCATCATTGGATAATTGATACATTGATAGCTAATCCGGTATTACCAGCGGCAGATTATCTTTATGATCGAGGCATATGTTCAGCCGTAAGACAATATTCATCCTCATTATTTCATAGAAGCAAAAAATGAGATTAAAAGCAGTTTCATCTGCTATTCGGTCGAAAACATATTGTCAAATTTATCATCTCGCTTTTAGCCATACTGTATGACATATAACAAGGTTTTTTGACTTTGATAAACTGGCAAAGATACGGTAAAAAAGTCAACGAAAAGGACGAACAGGGATTGTTTAATCAAACTATTGAACTTAAATTTTTACTTCTCTCAAGACAGATTAATTATAGGATTAAATGCACAACTCAAATAAATTCGCTCGATTTGAATTCATTTTTCAAAACTTAACTTATTTAATCCGTTCCAATTTAAATGGAACAAATCGTTAACCGTAAACTACTTTATTGAAACAGGTCAGTTTCGTTTATTTTAGGATTGGTTAAGTTTACCGCGACTACGTGCTATTGAATATTTACGCAATAAATTGTGCCGTATTTGTTCAACACATGCTTTTATTCCGTTCGATGTGCATTCCATTACACCCTTCAATGCCAAAAATGCAACTGAAATGATAAATTCAAAATCACATGCATGTAGATTTATTGATGAAAATGGAATTACAGTAATGTTATCGGTATGGAACTAGAATTGATTGATAAGTGTTAAGCCATACATACGGGAAGGTTCAAAAATCCTATAAGATACGTTATGATATGATTGGTTTCGTTGGGACATGTGTAAAGCATTGATGATTGACTTAAAATAATCGAGTGAAAATACTGAGCCAAGTATAATGATTAACTTTGCTTAACGTCCTCCTTTGCTATTATCGTAATAATAAGGTCATCTTGTGAATGAAATGCTTTTAGTATGACTTACGACGAGCCTTCGCACGTTATTGCGTTCGTAATGGAGTAAATCGTTTGAAAAGATATGGTTGTGGTAAAGTGTTTGGTCGTCCCGATGCTCTTGGTAAAATTTCTGTTCTTGAAAAATATGACATGCTTATTTATATATGGAAGAGTTGGTTTTTGTTGAAATTAAAATGTTACATACTATATTTTAGTCGGTAATTTCGACTATCACTTGATTGAAATGTTAACCCACAACATTGTTGAAATGTTAACCCACAACATTGTTTAAGCCCTCAGAATATTATTTTGCGCATTTTTTAAAATATTGTTAATATTAGTTTTAACTATTGCGGCTGACTCTTATGGATTGTTCAGGCTACAAAACTGCAAGTTATAATTTGCACATCTACGTGAGATGCATGTTATGATATAAATCATATAAAGTGTCTATAAATAATGTTTTTCGTTCCCCTGACGACAAATAAGACATTCAGCATTTCATTAATAGTAAAGCTTTAATTTAGATATTGATTGGCATGAATGACAGTGATATACTTACAGGGTCATTCCGGTTCTTGTAATTAAAAAAAATATATTTGTGGTCTGGTTGTCCTCGTACACGTATTATATTTGCAGTTAGCATGCATCCTGTTGAACGTATCGAGTTTGCCATTGATGCTATCGGTCCGGCAAGTTCAGCTCAAATGCTTACTGCCGATATACTTTGCATTACGGTCGAGGCGGCTCATCAGCTTGATTCTATATCGTCGCGTAAATGGGAAATCCGGTTGGGACATCGGGATTTAGTTATTGCTACTGCTCTCTATCTCGGTTTCGGCGATTTTAACACACAAAACAAAATACTAAATATTCTTTACTCAATCGCAACATCAAATAGTTAGTTTTCGAGTTTTATCACAGTGCTGTTGTTCTTTATTGTTAGAAATTAGGTTTCCATTTCTTCTTATAGTCCGACACTACAACCAATACTGAGTAACCTGCGGAAATATATGTATATTATTTGTTCAAGCAAACTGATTATTTGTTAGTGATAGGCTGTCACGTATTGTATATCGGTGATCTAAAGTGAGTTAGACCATCGAAAGCACAAAAAAAAGGATGGTAGAAATATCTAAAACATGTGAGTTCTATTAGCAAACAAGTTATGTTCGACTCACTGATAACTGGAGATTTGCAGCACTAAATATTGAGTATTATGCAGTTTCTTGATTTCTTGATTTCAGAAATGCTTAGTCATGAACAAAAAATCGAGCGACTTCGGGTCGGTACGGAAATGTCGTTTAATCAAGCAAACTCACTACTCAATGTTTTGGAAGGCGATGGTTGCACATTAGAAGCGTTAGTGGCAAGGACAGAATGTCTGGTAAACTGTCGAGATGATCGTGTCCGAAGGCATGCTAAGAAGGCGTTAGATGACCTCACAGATTTAGCTGTTTTGTTGGAATGTTTTATTGGTAAATGTTCTAATTTTCCAAATTTTTCCACAGAAAGATCTCATTATTTTATAGTCCAAATTTCGAGTCTTCCTTTGTTTTTTTATGAAATATCTACCGACTTTGGTTGTTTAGGAGGGAGAAATAATGCAAGAAATTTTCCATTTGTTGTAAATGGATAATAATATTCGACGATATGTATTTTCTCATTTTATCTAGAGCGATCTGGTATATATTCAGCATATATTTATTTCCAGATAATATGACTGAACACATCTTATTTGATGGCACTTTCTGTTATCGACCACATACATACTGCAGCGGCCTCATGTTTCAAATACGAGTACTCTTCCTTCATAGGCAGAGAATACAACCTGTCATCATTGGTGCTGGAGGTTAACTTGTTATCATTTAGCTTTTTTAATCTCCAGCAAAGAGGTGTAACCGTCTTTCACATACAGGTCGATACGATACCTTGCTTGAGGACGAGCGTCATGCACAGGATCTAGTTCCTCCCAGTCCTCTGTGTGCAGTTGGATGCAGTTTACCGCTTGATATTCTTGCTCAGTTTTGCTGTAGAAATAAACCAGGTAATTTTACCCAGGACTCTCAATTAGGCCGTATGATCGCGTACAGTTATTAGCTGTAAATCTGTTGGTCTATAACAAAAATATGTTCGCAATTTGCTGGAATGTTAAATGATGCTAATTTCATTATAAAAGTACTTTTCTTTTTTTTTCGAACTTTTCATTTTACTTTTCCTTCTCTCTCTTCTCCAAGAAAAAGAAATGAAGAAAGTAATGAAGGTGACAGTTATTGACAAAGAGGTCATTGTGTCGGTCCTCAAACCATTCCATGCTACTGGTGGATGGTGTTGTCAGCAGTATAATCCGTGTAATCTTAGATTCTAATTTAATTTTTCAAACACTTCCCTCTCTGAAGTGCAAAGTTAGATTAATTCTAACCTATTAGATTTTGGATCGGTTTCCGGTCAAGCATTGGTTTGCTCAGTCTCTGACCAACTCCTAAAAACAACCGCAAATTTGGTGAAACAGATGTGGTCGCGTGGAATCCAAGCAGATATTTTACATCATCCGGTCGCTCCAATGCAAATAGCGGAGCTTGATGTAAGGTTTATTCAAATTCCTAGCATACACACTTAAACCTATTTTCTAATTTTTTAAGAATTCATTTTTTGTTTCTTTTAAAGTATCGTCATTGGTAGTTTTCTTTCACTTAGTTCCGGCTGATGGAAGGAAGGAAAAAAAACGAGGGAGATTTTAAACTACGAATATAAATAGAATTTAGAAGGAAATACAGTTCCGGTGAAATTAAGGCTGGAATTTTAAAACGATTTATTCCCTCCGTCGTCCGCATTCCCATTTTTGGTCGGTTCATCAATTTATAATTGGAAACGACTGCAGTCTTTGAGTTGTGCTGTTAATGATATAGGTGATGCATCAACATCTGATTTAATTTGGTTTCAATTTATTTAATTCTTCATAGATGCACTGTAACGAGACGAATATTGAGTTGTTGCTGATGGTATACGGCGAAGATGAAGTATTAGCTCGTGTTAATGGCGTTGACTTAGGAAAGCTTACGTTCGATGAAATGTTGAGCAAGCTTGAAGCTTACCGAAGTGGTGTGTCCTTTGTGGAAGCATTTCCACATTTACCAAATAACAATTCGCCTGTTAAGCATTCAGTAAACACACTGCCAGTATCTGCTACTCTTGCTAACCTCAACATAAGATATGCTTTAATCGAGAAACCTGCTGCTCATATCCGGAAAAGAAATGAGGTAGGTATTTCTTATAGATCCCGGCAATTTAGAGAGAAACTTCTCTTTCTGACATAAAAATAAATTTCCATATTCTTTGAATGTTAAGTAATGTTAATTCCGATTTACCCGAAATGGAATAAAATCTTTTAAAAAAGGAAAAAGTAAGAGACGTTTATTTTATCTGCATATTTTTTAAAAATAACCGTAGTTTGGAATAATAAGCAGAGAAAATGATTACAGAGCTATAAATCAGTCTTGTATTTTGTTGAATTTTCTGCCGTGTTAATTCTATATTAATGCAAATTTAAATTAAAACCTCTTTCAAGCTCTTTAGACTCAAATTCGTGCTTGTTTGCAAAAAATGGTTGCTGCACTGGCACCTCAAACAGTAGTTGAAGTAATTGTAACGGAGATCTCAGTGGATGCAATTCGTCTTCTTGCAACACTTATTGATCGCAGTTTCACAGTGGACGAACTTTCAAGTGCTTTCACCACTGCTATAAGACAACTGAGCAAATTCAAACGGGAATTCAAACGGATAGAGGAAGTAATTGAACCACTTTTTCAACCCAAGAATACCTCACCCATTGTATTATATTCGAAGCAAGATTGTAATGGTTATTACAAATTAATAATTTAAAAGGATTTTGTTTATCCATCGAAATGATTATTATTGCTTTAGGTACTGAGATGAAAAATCGCGATGTATTTGAGGTTCATGATTATGATTTACTGCAATTTTAATTACATGTCTTTTTTTTAAATTACGATAGGCAACAAACATGAATCATTTTCATTTTTCAACTTGTTGGACATGTTGCATGGCTGAATTCTCTTCTTTGTTCAGTTATATGCTTCAGAGAGTGTTGGCGTATACTTTTATTATTGGTATTTTAACGTTCATTAGTTCGTTTAAAACTTAAGATTTATCACTCTCAGTAAAAAAGTTAATTATTGATTTCACCAGTACTTTCAATTCTTCCTTTATGTTTTTCCTTTTTATAACGAGATTGTTATTTCCACTTGTAATTTGTTGTTAAATTTTCCGTCAACGGTTATCAGTTTTGTCTGTTGTCATTCATCATTTGCATAGACAAGTTCTTCAGTATCCTACAAGTTCGTATCAATAATTACTGCTGATATATCAATTTTTTTCAATGATTGGACTTGAACTTTTACCGAAGCAGATAAATTACTGTGCTGGACATAGATGTGTTCTAAGGAAATTCTGCTTCAATTTTTGATTTAAACTTAAAATATATAGCATTTCTGCAATCCAAAAATTTTAAATGGATTACCGTTTACTTTTCATTTTACGTCACCTACTAGTAAAAAATTTCCCTTTGGAAAACCTACAGAAATTGCTCAGGTAATAATTGGATCCCAAAATTCAATACACATCATTCCATCTGGGACAACTTTACATGTCTTGCTGTGTTTATTCTACATAGAAGCATCAAATTTTTCAATAAATTTATCTGGCTTGAATTCATCAAGAAAAATGTTGCACTAAATAGATTGAATAGTTCCGTTAAATCCGTGAAATTTTTCATTGATTGTATAAAATGTACATTCTACTTACACAAATAAATTCCGGAAAAGAGCATGAAAAAAAAAAGCTTAACAAGGATTGCCTTGAGAATATTTCTCCATGCAAGATATGCTTTTATTTTTAAACAATTAAATTTTAAGTTCGAATAAGATATTAGGTTATTGTTTCCATTAGTGAAATCGTTTCTACCTTATAGCACAACTAAAAGTAGGAAAATGAGACTGCCCGAAAATAGCTTTACCTTATTAATAAACTGGTTAAATAGTATTGAATATTAACTCAATACTATTTCGCTTTTTAGGTCATCAACAGAATGGAAATGCTTTCTGCTCCATAGATGTTTTTGGATCATCGGACATTTGCAATCTTTAAATGCTATTTTTTAAATATCGATACTGATTTCAATAGATGAATCGAGCCTCTGTTAGCTGTCATCTTCACGCATCAAAGGCAATATTTGCCTACAACGATTTTGAATTTCATTTCATTTAAATCGGTTTTCATATTTGTATATATATATATATATATATATATATATATATATATATATATATATATATATATAT